GAATGTCTGGTGTGTTCACAGTGGGGCCTGACGGGGACCCTCCCCGCCTCTCCGCTGGGGGGTGGTGGGAGGGTGACTCTGTCCTCACAGCCCCCTCGCCCCAAGGCTGTTGACACTGGCCTGGCTCCCACAGATTATAAAAGGAGAGGCTCGTGAACCCACAATCTGATGCCACACTTCAAACACAGCCGTAGCGGCTGGTGTCTGTGTACGTGGTTCTCTGTGCATGTTTGCATGTTTCTGTGTGTGTGCACATCTGTATGTGTGTGGATCTGTGTCCTTGCATGTTTGTGTATATGTGCCTGTGTCTGTGGCATCTGTGTCTTTGTGTGTATCTATGTGTATTTGTGTGTACTTGTGTTTATCTATGTGTGTCTCTGTTTATCTGTGTATATGTTTATCTTTGTATCTGCATGTGTGTTTTTTGTGTGTACAGGTTTGTGTGTGCACTTGTGTAATTGTGTGTCTGATCTGTGTGTGCCTGTGTATCTGTGTATACGTTTGTGTGTACACGTTTGTGGGTGCATTTGTGAATGTGTATATGTATCTTTATGGGTGTCTGTATCTGTGTGTCTGTATCTATTTGTATCTTGATGTATGTGTGTCTGTATCTGTGTGTTTGTGTGTATCTGTTTGTATCTTTGTGTGCGCACATGTGTGTGTGGAGCGAGGAAAAAGGAGATAACAAGGCATCAAGGAGCCTTTCTGAAAACCCACAAGGCCCAGCCCAGGAACAGGGCACAGGCTTGATGGGTGAGAGTCTCTCTAGCAGCCTCCTGACAGAAAGATCTGGAATTCCAACCCAACATGTAGGGCTCTGTCCCCTCCTCAGTCCCCCTTGACTGTCATAACTAAACATCCCAGCTGCAGAACTGTCTGTTTTTTGGTTTTGTTTTGGAAATGATTATACCCCAGAGATAAGAGACCTTCCAAACACATCCCTAATAAGGCGAGGGGTTCTCTGGTTGAGTCAGGCAGCCGCTGCTCATGTTCAATTTCTGTAATTTTCATTTCAAAGGGAAAAATAAATGAGCAGGTAATGTCATAAAATCTCATCATGAAACTCCAGGGCTGCTGGGGGTGGGGGGCAGGGGGCTCCAGCATCTCTTTTAAAGGAGAAGCCACAGAAGCAAAGTGTCTCTTGCCCCCACCCCACAGCTTCTCCCTGAGGTGGGACTGAACTGGCCATGAGCCCCTCCTGCCTTCCATGGAGGTGGGAAAGGTGGGCTGGGGGAGGCTGGCATCCGGGCGGGGGGCGTGGGGGCGGGTGGCAGGCAAGTCAGATGTGCAGAGGCGGCCCCTGGAATGTAGTCCATCACCTTCCGTCAAATCCTCCTCCCCAAAGACTAGGGGGCCAGAAGGTTAACACACCCCTTGTCCCCTGAGCCACTTTGAGGCCCTGTCAGAAAGTAAGAACAGCGAGAGGCTGGAGGGGGTCGAAGCATTCTGAACGGAACGAAAAGCAAACACCTGGAATATTCGGTCAGAGTCCAAACTGCCCTGTCCTTGTGGCCCCAATGTCACAGCAGAGGCTGCTGAGTGTCACTGCTTAGCAGGAAATGGTCTGAGGCAGAGAAAAGCAGAACTTTCCAGAAAGATTTACTAGGCAGCTGGAGGGAAGAGGACGGGAGGGGCGGGCAGGGAGATGGGAGGCAGCAGCGGGAGCCGGACGTGAGCCCTGGCTCTGCCATGAGCAGCTGCGCCGACTCAGGGAAAGTTACTTCACTTCTCTGTGCCTCTGCTTCCTCGTCTTTACTACCAGTGTGACAGGCAGCCTCCGAGACAGCCCTCCGTGGCCCCCAGCCCCCTGGCAGTCACATCCTTGTGCAGCCCCTCTCCCACTGTAGGAGTACTGTCTGTGTGGCCAGGAGCATACGGCAGAGCGATGGTGTCACCTCCAGATTACGTTAGAAAAGACTAGAGCTTCCACGTCGGCCTCCCTGCCACCTCTCCTGCCTCTCCCGCCTGTCTCTCTCTCTCTCTCCCTCCCTCCCTCCCTCTCTTCCTCCCCCACCATTTGTAGGAAGCCAGACACTATGCTGTGAGGACACCCAAGCAGCCCTATGGAGAGGAAGAGCCACGTGGGTGAGCCCCAGACAAACCTCAGGTTGCTGCAGCCCCAGCTGACACCTTGACTATAACGTTAGGAGACCCTGAGCCAGAACCTCCCCAAAAAAGCCACTCCCAGACAGCTGAACCATGGACACTGCGAGAGAGTACACACTGTCGTTTGCAGCTGCTAGATTCATTAGCAGGCTGATTCATTAGCTAACACGTCCAGGGTCACTGTGCACATTCAGGGGCCCGGGGCCGTGTGAAGGGCTCGGCACAGAGCCTGCCTCACAGTCAACGCTTAGCAAAGGTGGGAGAATAGGTTAGTGGTCTGATGACGCTACGGACCCCTCCTCAAAAGAATGCTTCAAAATGTATAAAACAAGATACACAGGATTACAGAGGAAACCTATTATACTAAAATACAGTCCAATCCACAGACCTCTTGGTGGGAGGATGGAGTCCCAAGTTAAAGATGCTCGTCCCCTGCTTTGGCCTGTTGGCCAGCCTGGCTGCATTTGTACCTGGTTTCCCCACAGATGAGCTGTGTGTTCCTGGGTTCTTCAACCCAGCTCTGTCATCGTTGCTCTATGAATGTGACCAAAGCATTCCTGTCAACTGTCACCTCTGCAGGAAGGTGCCGAAACTTACATGTGCTGCGATGCGTTGGGGAAGAGGTGTGAGTACTGGGGGGCTGAGTCCTCGGGGCCGTGGGGGGCTGCGTGGCTGATGACCATTAGGACGGGCCTGTGTGGGTACATCTTCTTGGACGTGCGGAAGAAGTTCACGCTGTCGTTGGTGACGAGGTCTGTCAGGTAATCCTGAGGGTGGGGAGGGACAGGAGAACACGCGAGGAGCTGACCACTTGTACCAAGCGCCCGCCGTGTGCCAGCCACCGTGCCGGGCATCGGGGACACAGCAGCAAGCAAAACAGGCAATTCCTGCCCTCACAGAGATGACGGTCTGGGGGGCAGATAGGTCATAAGTCAGCAAGCAAAACACATGAATGTTGACTGACGCTATGCACAGCAGAGAAAAGCAAGCAGAGAAGGGGTTAGAGAGGACGGGCGCGAACCTGCCATCGGTCATTCATTCACGATAGATATTAAAATAACAACAGCTTACGCGACTGAGTGCTTATGGTGTGCCGAGAACTGTTCCGTGTTTCTTCGTATTAGCTTGTTTAATCCTTACATAACCTTAGAAAGTGTGTGTGATGGTAATAAACCCTGTTTTTTTGGAAGAGGAAATTAAAACACGAGAGTAGTTGACTCACTTGCCTAATGTCACACAGCTGGTAAATGCTGCAGCCAGGCCTCCGAGACCTCACGGCTGGAGAGCCTGTGCTGGGGGCAGGAGCAGAGAAACGCGTAAACAAAGACCCAAGGCAGTGACAAGGTGTGATGGATGAAAGAAGTAAGACAAGATGCGACCAAGAGTAAGGGGGAGTTGGGGTGGGGGGTGGACTTTAGCCGATGCAATCAGGGAGGCCACTCTGAGGAGGTGACATCTAAGCTGAGACCTGACTGATGACAGGGAGATGGGCATGGGAGGATACATATCACTGGGGTTCATCTCAGCTGCTGGAATCCTCGGGGGAGCTTTACTGATGCTTGGGCCCACTCCCGGAGTTTCCAGTTTAATTCCTCTGATTCAGCGCGGACCTCGGACTATTATTTCAAAGCTCCCCAGGGGATTTAAATGTGCAGCCAGGACTGAGAACCACGAATCCAGGGAAGAGTTCCAGGCAGAGGGAATAGCAAATGCAAGAACTCTGAGGCAGGGAGGAGCCTGCCATGTGTTTGAGAAACAGAAAGAGGGTGAACTGGCAGCAGGTACAATGCAGGGACCACCCAGGGAGCAGCATCAAGGTAGGTGTCACGAGACCCACTGAGATACTGGGCGGAAGAGAGAAGAGCTGACGGAAAGGTAATGGCAGAGACTGAGGGCTTTCCAAGCTCAACTATGACGTGAGATGTGCCTGAACTCTTCCTGAACTTGGCAGATCTTCAGCTGCTGGTCTCTCTCGCAGGTAATGAGTCTTGAAATTTACCCACCGCTTCCTAGGAAGCAGCTCTATCCAAAATGATCACTTTCAAAAAAAGAGGCATTATTTTAGAGAAGAAAAAGTAAAGATGTAGCTACAGCTTCTACCTTGAATGAAACTGTTAACACACACACACACACACACACACACACACACAGAAAAAAAAGGTAATGCAGAGACTGAGGGCTTTCCAAGCTCAACTACAACGTGAGATGTGCCTGAACTCTTCCTGAACTCGGCAGATCTTCAGCTGCTGGTCTCTCTCGCAGGTAATGAGTCTTGAAATTTACCCACCACTTCCGAGGAAGCAGCTCTATCCAAAATGATCACTTTCAAAAAAAGAGGCTTTATTTTAGAGAAGAAAAAGTAAAGAAGTGGCTACAGCTTCTACCTTGAACGAAACTGTTAAGACACACACACACACACACACCCCCCACTGGTGTACGTGTGCATCTACGGACACACGTCTTAAGGCACACTCATACCCTACACCTATACACATGAGGACGGTCACTGCAGTGGTGCTGGTAAGGCGGTGAGCAGCAGCAGGCAGATGAATGATGCACGCCACGCGGGCTGTGTAGACATTATGGGCTGTGTAGACATGAACAGGGCAGCGAATCTAATTACTGAGGTGGGAAGTCTCCAGGAGGCGCTGCTGAGAAAAAGAACATGCTACAGAGTCAGACCTGAGAGACCCTATCTTTTTTTGTGGGGAAGGGAGGGAGGCAGAGTGGAGAGAAGCCTAACCCCTACTTTCCTGTGTTTTTAAGGACCACGGAAGAATCTAGGGGAACGGATCTCAAAGTGCTTGCTGGGAGCTGTGACAGAGGGCACGACCAGGAGAAAGTCACTTTGCTACTCTATGTGCTCGTCCTGGAATACTTTCTATGATGAATTTTTAGAAGTAAAAAGAGGTTTTATAAGGGGGCTTATAGAACCTACTACATAATAATGTCAATCAAAGAGCTGCCAGGACAGTCGTGGAACATGACCCAAAGGCGTTAGCCAAGCTCTTAAGATGACAAAGGTAACTAACTGTGGATCTAAAAAGGAAGGGGTCCAGATGCCAACAGGAAACCACGCTCAGTGCCTCCAGGGGGCGAATCGGAACCGGTCCACCAGGTGAAACTCGCTGCCTCTGGCGGCAGGTGGGGTGGGAACCGGGCTGCTGCTCTTTATGATAAACTCATCTATTCGATTTCAGAACTATATACGTGCCTGTCTGGCTGTGAGTAAAAGATTTTTTTTTTTCAAAGCCACCATTAACATCCGTTCCCAAGAGAGGGCGCAGAGCAGTGAGAAAGAATAAACTAGATCTAACGGATCAACACGAATTAATCTAACAGACCTGATAGTGGGTGAGAAAAGCAAGTTGTAGAAGGATGTACATGATACGATGCCATTTATAGAAAGTCTAAGAACACACAGAACGGTACTGTGTACTGTGTGCGATACCTGCGTATGGGGTGGAAGAAGGGACGCGTGTGTGGGAGTGATGAGCACCAGACTCAGGATACCATTCCCTCCTGGGCGGGCACAGGCTGGGACAGGAGTGAGCGGGAGGGTGACGGGGTGTTCCTAAGTCTCCATGATGTTGCCTGTCCAGAAGTGCATGAGGGTGATATCCAGCTGGCCTCTCAAGGCCGGTGTGAGGGTTTCAAGCGCTAAGAGACGTAAAGCTCTTGACACAGTGCCCTGCCTGAAGCCAGCTCTTGATAAGAGTCAGCTAATATTGTGGCTGTCTTGGTGGCCTGAAAGATTTTCTGCACATCTAAAAGCCACCTACTCGCCCTCCTTGGTCCTCCTCAAAGCCACTCCTACAGTAAGCCTTTTCTGATCCCTGTTAGCTGCGTGGGGATAATGGTGATGGTGATGATGGTGGTGGTGGTGGTGGTGTCTGCAACGACATTGGACACTCATCCCTGCAT